GGTTGTGCCTGTGGAGTTCAAACAGGTAAAATTAGATATTTCATCCATTTTTTCTTGATAGCATGTGTATATTCTTCTACCAATCTTTTTAATAATGAAGATCCTCTTCCTAAAATAAATAAAATAAATAGGAAACCTCATGCATCCGATAGGGTTCAGCCGCTATATCCACGAGTATTTCTGAGCGATACAAATAAGGACAATAGTAAAATGAAAAAAAAAGTTTTGACTCTAGCCTGACTAGATATTACAATGAAACGATTCGTCAAAGCGGTGTTCAATGACATTGCTGAGAGTCTGAACAAATGCCAAGATCAAACAAAATGTTTTTTTCATAATGATAATTGAGTCGAATAATTCATCATTATTTAAGAAAAACCTTTCATTGAAGCATGTATATCGGAAAGGTAGACAGCTGTTTCAGCCTATTGGGCATCGTCAGTACCGGGCAGGCGGTCCTCGATTGAAGACAAGATGTGAATAACCAAGAAAAGAAATTAATAAAAATAACTACGTAAACGCAAGCGAGACTCAAGTGGAATACCATTGAAAAATGAATCCACATCTTTCTGGAAATGATATGGTATTGAGAAAGGTTAATGCTGTCAAGCTGCTGTATAAGTACTATTCTGATCATTCCCATATTGATTTCAATATAAGAGCCACCGGTAGACAGCTGTTTCAGACTATTGGGCATCGTCAGTACCGGGCAGGCGGTCCTCGATTGAAGACAAAATGTGAATAACCAAGAAAAGTACTTGATGAAAATAATTTCGTGAACGCAAGTGAGATTTGAGTTGAACCACCTATTGAAGAGATACCCGAGCCAACCTGCCAAGTTTTTATGTCAGAGTTGGTGGTTTGACCATTCAACCGGGTATTTGACTCGCGTTTGCCATTCGATCTTCCTGCCTGAGATCGTGACCCTTACGTCTGGAGAAGCGTTACGACTCCTCAAATTTATCGCCTGAGTTTTTTCTGGATTCACCCGGATCTTCCAGTCAAGGTTCCAGCGTTCGAAGTCGTCCAATGCGCGTTGCATGTAGACGACCGCCAACGCTCGACCCATGGAAGAGGCGAGGAGAGCCGTGTCATCGGCGTAAAGGGAAACCTTCACGTGGTCGAATCTTGGAAGGTCGCTCACGTAAAGACTGTACAGTAGTGAAGACAGTGTAGCTTCCTGAGGTACTACAGCTTGGATTTCCCTGACAGGAGGAGGAGACAGGGTTCCTTCAACTAGGACCTGAAATGTTCTGCCTTTCAGAAAGGACGTAATCCACCGGACCAGGCCCCGAGGCAGATCGAAATCAAGCATTTTGTATAGCAGATTATCTGAAAAAAGATAAGGAAAATAATTGTTTATTCTGCGATTTGAATTCACATGCAAGTTATGATTGTTTGAAAGCGCAAAGACTTCCAATTAATGAAAGAAAATCTAGGATAATGATAAAACGTGGATGTTTTTGTTGTTTGAAATTGAATCACACTAGTAAGAATTGTTGAGCTGTAGTTAGATGTTTGATATGTTCAAAGAAACATCACCCCATTTTATTTTCTGATTTGTATGTGGAGAAAGGTATCACTGATCTAGATGATAAAAATCCAAACAATAAGGTTGAAAATACTTTAACTAACAATTTTTCAGACGAAACTTTATTGCAAACGATTGGATATTGTTCGACGGGAAAATATTGTTCAAGGTGTTTTTGGAGGGTTTCAATCAGAACCAAAAATACATGATGTGTATAATATTATCATTCAAAATCCAAATAATACGTTTAAAACAGAGGTGAATGTGGTGGAACAAGACTATTTGAAACATAAAAATATAATTTTGAGTGATACTAGAAACTTTGATGTCAAATGAAATACAATTATTATTAGGAGCCGATGTTTTTGGTCAGCTCTTGAAAATCAAAAATTTGATGAATGGCTTCGTTGCTCTCGAAACTTATTTAGGTTGGACAATAATGGGTCAAAGAATTAGTGAATGTTCGATATATTCTATTATATTTGCCGGTTTTACTGAATTTTCCATTGCAGATCTATGGAATTTGGATGTGATAGAAATAAAAATGTTGCGCATTTCAAAACCAAAGATGAACATGAAGAAGAACTTTTTAGGAATTTTAATCAAACGATAGCTTGGAAGGAGAACAGATATAAAGTTCATCTAACCTGGATTGAAGGTCATCCGAAAATAACGAGAAATGAAGAAATAGCCAATTCTCGGTTGGTGTCTACTACAAAAAAGTCAAGAAATATATATAAATTACAAGAATACAAAAATGTTTTTCTTGACTGGGAAACACTGGCACTGATTGAGAAAGTAAAATAAGCTGTCATTAAAAAAGTCAGTATGACCCCAAAGGTGAGACCGGTTTTTGATGCTTCAGCAATTGATAAGAGAGGTGTATCTTTGAATGGGTGTTTTGAAAAAGGTCCAAATATGATTGGTTTAAACCCATCATTTTTAGTTAAATTCAGATTAGAAAAGATAGAAGTTACAGTTGACATTGAGAAAGCATTTTTACAGATCAGTGTTACTGAAAAGGATTGGGATTTTTTGAGATTTCTTTGGTGGCAAGATGAGTCATATGAAAAAATCAAATGTTTAAGGCATCGTCAAGTAGTTTTTGATTTAAAATGTAGTCCATTCCTTTCAGCTGCAACCATTAACTACCAATTATATAGATCACGGTAGGTAGCGGCGTTTGACGTGTGTGCTTTGTTCACTTACTCAAATCGATCGCCGTGTTGGTCGCTGGTTAAAGCCCCAGGCTGAACTAACGATTTTCACTTACTATCATCCAATCCGTTTTAGGAATCACACGTCGAAAAGTAAGACCTCATTAGTCCTTAGCTCGCACAAGTTACGACTTCTGAGGATTGTCGTTCGTAGGGGTGCAACAGCTGGTTAACGGAAAAACAGATTTTTTTTAAACCTCCAGAAGTAGATGAACAAGGCGGGAACGAGACCACTTCAAGGTCGTCACTGGTAAGTATTTCAGAGAAAAACTTTAGTGAGTGGAAGAGAGAAACGTGTGACGTCATCGACGCAGGATGGAACGAGTATCGTAGCGATTCAAGCATGGAACTCGGCCCCCTTGGTACTCCGCCTCACCTATTAGATCCCTTAGTACTCCGCTTTCGGCCCCCTTGGGACTCCGCATCACTACCCAGGCCCTCTTGAGACTCCACATCACCCCTCGGCCTCCTGTCTCGTGCCAATCACGTGATTCTAATTAAAAAAGTTTATAGTTATGAAATTCGAACCTGGATCGTCCGCGCGGTAGACATCGTCCTTAGCCTCTACACCAACGTAAGATATTGAAGTTAACTGCGAATGTTGGGTATTTATAGCTTAGTTTTGTCGGAACCGAAATTGACTCATTTTATATACTTGACAGCATTTTTTTTTAATTTCCGTAGAATGTAATTGTCATTATCATATTGAAGATGGGAAAATATACTCAGATTTGGGAAATAATTAATATTTCATGTAAAGATGTGTATGTGTGTGTAAGAGCGAGAGACGCGTGTGACGTAATCGAGGCAAAGAGAGAGATGGAGATGGTATCGAGGTTTTACCGGTTGCTAGCGCAAGCAGGTGTGGCCAGTTGTACAATAAATCATTGTTTATGGGACAATGTAGCATTGCCGGATACTTAGATTTGGAAAATAATTAATAATTCATCTAAAGATCTTTATGAGCGAGAGACGCGTGTGACGTAATCGAGGCAAAGAGAGATGGAGATGGTATCGAGGTTATACGCTGCCAATGCCAGCATGGCAGGTTCGGCGTTGCCGGTTGTACAATAAAGCATTGTTTATGGGGCAATGTAGCGTTGCCGGTTTGAAAATGAAGGGTTAGGAATACGACTGTGTACGGTATGTCTCAAAATACATCATTTGAAGAAAAAAACATGGCGTCGAAGTGTACAGGGTGCGTTAAAATATACCATTTAAGAAAAAACATGTCGGTTCAACAGAAGTCTAGCATTCCAACATGCCAAAAGGGCAGTAATTCTCGTTATCTTTGTTAACCAAGTTAGCATCATCAGGAGAAAGAGGACACTTAAAAGTGTCGAAGGGTTACGCGTTGTGGACTCAACGTAAGGGCAATGGGGGACGAAGTATTCGACAATGACATTTCAAAATTCGTTGTTTTGCATAAGTTCCGAAGGAAAACGATATTCCGTACGTCATTGGTAAACGAAAATTAGTATTATAATGATATGCAGAGAATACAGACGTAAAGTAGAGGAATTTGAAAGACGTGTGCAACAAATAAGTATTGATATACAATTATATGAGGAAAAGAAAATGGTTCTCAAGCAGTTGAATAATTTACACATTCAAGACAAAGTGTTCCAGCCTCAGAGTGTAGAATATGTCGTCAACGATGCTGAAAAACAAATTTTGTACTTCCGACTACAATAATTTTTGTTTAATATGTAAACGTACCGAATGTGGGTGAAATTCCAAGGAAATATGCGTGAAGGCTAGGGTAAACAATGGAAATCGATTCGTTCGACATCATTCAATGAGGGTCAGTTAGCAGTATTTGTGCAAGCGCAATTCCAAAGAATACACCATTCAAATGTGAATTGAAAAAGATATTCCAAGATCTTCGTCATTTAAATACAAAAAAAACTGTTGAATTTGTTCCAGAACACGCAACGAGGCAGGAGAAAAAATAGTCACAAATGGAATTTGACGTTTATAGAGTTATCATAGAATCTACGATGTCAGCATGTATTCAAATTAGACTTGTACAACAATTATGGAATTTAATAAAAAAATGAATATTTTGATTGAAACAGTAAATTTTTTGTTTTATTTCAATTTGGTGAAAATATATAATATAGGTATGCAAAATTATCCCTATCACTCATCGATAAAGCCAGACACGTGACGAAACAAAGGCTCTTTGTTTGATTGCATAATATGTCATCACCTATTTTCCTATTCTTATCCAAGATGACATTTTCTTGTCTATATACACATTCATTATGTAGTAAACAGAAGCTCATTTTGTGAGCAGCTTTCTAGTTGGATAAGACGCATAGTAAGTTACGAATAACTTTCATTCATGTTGTCGTTTATTGAGAGAGTGTTCGTATAACTTGAAACATTGTTTTTTTATTTTTGGTTTCTCGCAGGTGGATATCCTGAAATTCAAGTTCAGTCGTGAAGAGAAAATCAAATAACAAAATAGCAGATTCACCTGTAGAGACGCCGCAGAGGATATTGACAGCCAACATCGTGAGAAGCATTTAGAAAATACGCTGTCGTGTTGTTTCATTTGAAATTGTACGAAATTAAGGTTAGTACTGCTTTTTTTCTCTGTTCAATATATGTATAGAGTTTGTGGTTGTATACTTTATTTTTTGTTCGACTAAAAAATTTTTTCATTCATAGATATGATCCGCATTAAGAAGTGTTTTCAATATTTTTTATGTGTTTAGTACTTGCAAAATATGTGTTTTGAATTCGTTGTTTTGAATGACAGTTGATTTTTTCAATTATAACTGTAGCTTGCTCATTTTTCACAATCACTCCATGAAAAACATTACCCCCACTATTGAATTTTATTTTTCTTTGGTGTATGTTTGTATTGAAGATTGCATTTATTTCAGAACACTACATCAACGTGTGCAGTATAACTTCAGAATCATCTCAACAACTACATCCAAAATCGTCTTAGCAATCTTTTCCACAACGAGTTTCAGATCACAGCAGCTTCCAACAGTTTCCACAGAACGAAATTCAATTCTCTGCAGCTTCCAGAATATACTCATCACACTAAAAATTTCATTTGTGAACAAAATATCGGTGAGTCATGTCAATAAATAAAATCCAAATGATCGATTTTCCAAAAACCAAGTCGGTAATTGATAATTACATTTTAGTCATTAGAGACAATTATTCAGAGTATATTGCCAAACAAGCTATACAATTTATCAATAAACATATAAGAAAATGTGTTTCAGCTATGAAAAAAATTAGATTTTTGGTTGGGGAAAAAAAGAAAATAATTACAAATTTGGGGAATTGAAACGCTTCAAAGTGATTATCAAAATGTTGAATAATAAACATATAGGCTCAGGTTTGAAACGACGAAGCACCAGGGTAAAGTGGCAAATTGTTAAAACAATAGTTTCAATCATAGAGTAACAACGGGGGTAATCATCAATTCAACTCATAAAGATCCTAAAAAGTTTCTAGGCGATGCTTTTTCATTATTCATGCGTGATATTTCCAAAATTTTAAAACAAATGTCATATCTCAAAGTTAATTTCACATTATCAGGGGATTTTATTAAAAAGTCGAATGATGGGGAAATTGTTGATCGTAAATATTTTCTTACACCAAATGAAGTTAACGATTCAGGTACGGACTTACTGCTTGGTACAATGAAAACGCTGTGGATGTTATATTGAATTAATTTGAAGAACAATTGTCGGGGTGGGCTTTGAATAAAATTCTTTTGTTGGGAGTAGCAATTAATGAATATGTCATTGGTAACGGTTCTTCTTTCATTCCACTGCCGCAAGAATTCGCAAGAAAGCAGGCATGCATTAATGTAGGAAACGATGACGAAATGTGCTTCTTTTGGAGTGTTATTAGCGCCTTGTATCCTGTAGCAGTACATTATAATAGAGTGTCAAAATATCCACACTATTCTACAGTTTTGAATACTATAGAGCTGAATACTTCAATGGACTTATATCAAATTTCCAAATTTTGAAAACCTAACGATATTTTTGTTAATATTTACACTTTGGAATTGAATCAAGTGAAGGAAAAATCATTTTATGCAGTAGTACCTGCCAGACTCACGACAACAAAACGAGACAGACATGTTAATTTGCTATTAATTCAAGACAAATATTTTCCAAAATTGAACGAATATGAGGCTCCACCCATTAATGACGATGACGAGACTGAAATTGAATTCCATTATTGTTGAATCGAAGACATCTCCCGATTCTTAGGTAACCAACTGAACAAAAAAAAAAGACAGAAAATTCATTTGTGATAGATGCCTCAATTATTTTTCAAGTAAACAAAAATTAAATGATCATACTGTTTTGTGCGAAAAAGTGAATGATTGTAAAATTTCCTTTCCTATATACGAGTATGTGAAATTTCGAAATTATTATAAACAAAAATGTTCGTTTATAATTTTTGCTAATTTCGAGTCTCTGTTGGAAAAATGTAACGGAAACATATCTAACAAAACTACAAAATACCAGAAACATATACCTTTCAGTGCAGGCTACTACTTCGAGTGTTCCTATAACGACAATCTCTCTCATTTCGAAAGCTATCGAGGTGAGGACCGTATGAAATGGTTTGCCGACGAGTTGTCTGATATTGCAAAATTTGTTGAATCCAAAATTAGGAACATTGAGCTGATGACAGTGCGTTTGAATAATATCGGTGCTGCAATGACTTATCATATTTGCGAAAATCCGTTCGCCCCCAAAGATGTTATCGTGTACGATCACGATCACTATACGGGGGCGTTCCGCGGTTTTGCGCATCAAGCCCCCTGTAATGACAATTTTCGAAATTTATTCGTGGTACTCATTACTTTTCATAATCTTTCAGGATACGACAGTCACTTCATTATCAGAGATATTGCAAAAAAAGGCTGTGTGAGCATACTTCCCTCAAATAATAAGAAATACATTTCCTTTACACACAAGGATGCTGAAACTGAAATTAAATTTCGATTTATAGATTCTTTTCGATTCATAGATTCTTTTCGATTCATGGGAACATCGTTGGATGAATTAGTATCCAAATTGGATCAAAATGATTTGGAAATAAAAAAAAAGAATTTATTCATTTAGATGATGAAAAATTCGCTCTTCTCACCAGGAAGGGAGTATTTCCATATGATTATATAGATAGCATGGAAAAATTGAACATCACCGAGTTACCATCACGAGAGGAATTCGAAATTATAAATTTGGTTTCGTATGCGGACTTATTTTTGAAAACAGATATTTTATTACTGGCAGACGTTTTTGAAAATTTTCGTCAAAAAAGCATAGCAACCCATAAGGGTTGGATCCCGCATGGTATTATACTATGCCTGGGTACACGTGGGATGCCATGTTGAAGTATACGAAATGTAAATCACAAATTTCAAAAGANCGATGTAGTCTTGGGTAATACAAAATCACTAGACCCTTTTGACTTAACGGACGAACACATAATCAATAACTTCATAAATGACAGGAAAAGTAGGTTGGTTACACCCTACGAGAACATCCAGAAATGTTGTCAAAATAATAAAGAACGTGTCATCAATAAAAGAAACGAGACTCGCGAAGACCCTGTAGAGTTCACAGAAAATCAAGATATATTTGTGCAAAATCGCGAAGCTGCTCGTAACAAAGTCAAACCTAGACACATTAAAAAACGAGTTTCGAAAGACCTAGGACTCAAAATTAAAACAACAACAGGAGCAATAATTCATAAATCCAAAATAATAAAACCACCTATTCACTCTCGACGTTCTTTACAGGATGACAGAACGGACCACACCGATCCTAATAGTATCCCTTCGACTTCTCGTGATGACCCAGGTAATAACCAGCCAAGAAATTGAAATTCAACAACTCGACACTCCACTCTTACCATTAGAACTCGGAAAATCAAGAATCATTCAAACAAAACATACATTTTTACATTATATTGAAACCTCTCTCTTAGAAATGCAACTCAGAAATATTGAATTTTTCTACAAGAGACTAATAATATCGATCAATAATAAAACTGAATTGAAAAAAGACCAGATCATTCTGAAGGATTCATTTAATCAAGCTAAATATTTCCTAACCACTACAAAAACTAAATTGAGTAATATAATTTCAAGTAATCGCAAAAAACGCGGACTAATTAATGGTCTAGGCATAACAAGTAAATGGCTTTTTGGAACGTTAGACCATGATGACGAAATTAAATACGATTCACAAATTGAAACACTATTTGAAAATCAAAATCTCTCAATCATCAAATTAAACTACAGACTTCTCTTAATCAAAAACTGATCAAAAACTACAATGAAACCATAACCGAACTTCACGATAATCAAATCCTATTGAGAGATGAACTCAACCAACTGAGAGAAGAGCTCAATAACCGAACTAATAATTTATATTCATATTTTGCATCCTTCGGGGCCTTTAGCCAAATAATAGAAAATTGCCAAAGTTTGATAACATTTCTTGACAATTTAGAAAATGCAATCATGTTTGCCAACTTAGGTTATCTCCATCCTTCAGTAATTCCACTTAACGATTTAGTAAATGCTATCGAACACATGGCCAATATCTATGGTCAAAAAAGATCCTCAAAACTCAAAATGCATACCTTTATTACCAGCTGGCAGGAACTCAAGTAAGAATTGAGAAATACAAAATTATTTTTGCAATACATATACCAATTTGTCTAGAAGACGACTTCCGAACCTATAATCTTATTAGTTTACCATACCAAAATACAATCATCACCCCCTATAAACCTTTCCTCGTACTCGGTACCGAATATCACCAGTTTGAAGATAAACCATGCCCTCAAATAGATGGTGTGTTCCTGTGCCAACATCATGACGAAACTATAATCGACACCTGTATTATTGCTCTGATGAAGGACAAAAAACCCAATTGCCTGACGAATGAAGCCATTCTGAATCACCCTATAATAGAAGAAATCAATGACCGATTTCTCCTAATCCTGCCATCCAATGAACCCGTTATAGCCCAAACGGATTGCGAGAAAAGAAGTGTACACAGAATCGAAACAAATACTCTTCTGAAAATTCCAGAAGGCTGCAGTGTTGTTGTGAAAAACTTCACCTATAAAAACGAAGAAGAAACTATTTTGGGAAACCCACTTATTCTTCCCAAACTGAGATGGAATATGGTTTCCAAATCTAATGGTGACCAACACGAAAATAAGCCATTGATACTGAAGTCAATCAATTTCCAATCCATACGAGAACTTCAAACAGAAGCCAAGCTACTCCAAACGCCATACCTTAACCAATTAATACACCCAGCAATTTGGATTACACCCGGTGTAACTATTTGCGTTCTACTCCTTACCGGATTCGCCATACTTTGGTTTTGGATGAAAAAGAAAAATGGCCATCGCAATACCAACCGACAGAAGGACCCTAAAGAAAACAACCCTTTATCCGTATTGTTTTCTCCTGAAGAGGGAGGAGTTATGTGAAGAGATTTTGCAGACTATCCAAGGAAATGCAGTGCTTGCAGATTCCCACCCCGGATCCAGAAACGATTATCATCGTAACTTTTTATTCATTCATTTTGCAGATCTCGATGTGAGAAGTTCTCTAGAAATTTTATATTGCAATTTTGAGAAAAATAAATTGTTTTTAAAAACGGTTTTCGACTTCAAGGTTACTTAACTCGCACAAGAATTAACATTTCATCTCCGGTCGCTCGTATGGAAAGTAATGTGACATATAACAGGTCTAGATATTTGTCTTATATAAATATGTATTAGAACAATCCATACAAGAAATTCTATATACTGAAATTAACAAAAATCCAATTTCGTATACAGAATAAAGTGTATATGGCATAAGTGATCCTGTCGAAATGTCGTGATAATATCAAAGGTAGTAGTGTAAGGGTGGTGTTGCATTTGCATTTACCTAAAAATGGGAAAATACAAATGGAAGACAATGTTCAACACTCCGGTGACGTCATATGTAATGGATATCAGAAACTGACTCTTCCTGTTGACGAACAAAGACGAATTTTCTTGTTCTGTCAAAAATAGGTTGTCAATTGTTTCTCATTTTCACCGCAATTGTTGATATTGGCGGTTGGCGTTGGTGTTCTATATTTTTGTAGAAGGCTTTTTCATTTTTGAGTAATCAAATGATAGTGAAAAATTAAGGATAAACTCACCACAATGTCTGCAAGACTGAAACACATAGAAGTGGAAAACTTCAAATCTTATCGAGGCCGTAAAATAATCGGTCCTCTGAAACCCTTCAATGCCGTTATTGGTCCAAATGGATCAGGTAAGTATGATTTTAATGTTTTTTGTAATGGTATTCCCTACTTTGAAAGTATTTCAGGAAAGTCGAATTTCATGGATGCCATAAGTTTCGTTATGGGTGAAAAGACCCAAAGTTTGCGGGTGAAGAGGTTGAGTGATCTTATTCATGGAGCTGCCATCAGTAGACCTGTTTCAAGAAGGTAAGTTTCCTTTTATTGCTGCATTTGTAATATTTTGTCACCTTGTCTTGAACAACATTTCAATTATGTTACCAGTAACCGACTTAAGGTGAATTTAAGCACACACTTAACAAGTAGCAACCATCAATTAGCAAAGAACAAGTAGCAAAAACTATAGCATTTATGCATTCCCAATCAAAACGTCACAATAATGTAGTACGCAACCTGAACTTTTAGATTTTATCTGAAAAGAAAAGAAATTTGTAATAACGACTATTGTATATCTTTTGTATATTTTCAACACAGCATCAGTTTCCATTTTTACTGTGTGTATTCCGAAATGGGTCACGATCATTTGTGCACCAAATGCTTACTAGCCAACATCGATTCAATAGTAATAAGATAATTCATTCATCAATCAAAGATTATACAAGGCATCATACGGACACACGTGTATAAAACTTATCAGACTAGTCAAAAAAAAGAAGGTAATCTACAAATAAATGTTAAGATAGTGTATGGTCACATACAATGTAGTCAGTTTCACAATATTAAGGTATCAAGAAATATAAAATTATTCAACATTATAAAATACTTTTTCAAGAAGGAAATTTATCAGTTCATTTTTGAATAGAATGGCATGCAAATTCACATTTATTATATCTCTCATTTTATTATAACATTTGATACCAATATGCTATGGTAAATTTTCACAGACTGAAAACCTTGCATAGGGTTGTCGAAGTCTTTCTTTATTCCTAGTATTATACATATGAGTGTCCTCATTTCTCATATTTCATTTTGGTTTCTTTTGATGTACATAATCGGCTCAAGAATATACAAACATGGAACGGTTAGTTTCGTATTTGGAGACTCTTAAATGAAGGTTTACATGTTGTAGTTGGATGAGCATGACACATCATTCTTATTGTCCTTTAGTGAGATACAAATGCCCTTTCAAAGTGACAAGTTAGCCCCCAAAATATTTTAATAGTTTCAGGATGTCTGCTGATACAGTATATCGCTGATTTTTTACTATAAAGCATGAAGTACTTAGTTTTGAACATACAGTGTTTATGCATGCTTCTCATGTTAGCTCACTATCCAAAGTGACTTATAGAAACTTGATGATAGTTTCCATAGTTTGTATGGATTTACCAGATAAGGTTGAGTATAGGTCATAATCTGGATTTTTTTTTTTTTCAAAACCCGGACATAATTGTTTTTTATTTTATTTTCAGGATGGGTCCATTTTCAAGGCTATATCTTTTTATTTCATTAGATGCCCTGTTACTTAATTTTGTCAATTGGTCAATGTTATTGTGTAACATCAGAATATTAGTGTCATTAGCATATATTATTTGTTGGAAGGTGATTGGCATTGTTTCATGATGAATTTCATTAGTTCGGACTTCCATTGTCTAATATAATGATATTATATAATATTAGACAATGGAAGTCCGAACTAATGAAATTCAGCATTTGATTTGCGGAGCTATAGGTGTCGTCTGATTGAATCTGATTTTCCGTTATTCACTAACTGTAATCTGTTCTGTTTGTCAAGTATGAAGCGAAACACTCCTAACCCTTCCAATTTCATGATTGTATCAAAAACACGACTGAAGTCCTAGAACATTATTTTAATCATTCAGTGCACTGAAGATAAACTCTAGGCAATTAGAAATTGCCCAGCTGGTTGATTTGTGCTTACGGATTTGCTGGGAGTTCCAAGTACTTGGTCATTCTATCACAATAAGATGCTTCGAATAGTTTAACGACTTGACTCTGTATGCATATAGCCCTTCAGTTATGTATGTCACAAGCAGAACCCTCATTTTTAAATACAGGTATACATTTTGAATCCTTAACATCTGTTCCAGATGTGAAAGATTCATTTAATAAGTATGATATAAGAGCACAGTCAGATTTGAGAATTTTTCCTTTTATGTTATCTATGCCAGCAGACTGTTATCCTATTTATAATGGAGATTACTTCTGTGTCACTGGTGTTATGAAAAAGCTTTTGTGGAATCTGTTGATTTTTTTATCATCATTATTAGGTTTGTTGAAATTTTGAGAAGAATCTATGAAAAAGTCATTGATAAAAATACTTTTTATCATTGGATCAGTAATTGTCTGTTCTTTATTATCAGCAATCTGGACCATATATCTGCTTAGTACAGTTTTCCTCTTTAATAACTTTCCAGCCCTCTCTCATGATATTAGGCAAATTGAAAAGTATAGAAATGTAAGCTTTCACGGCTGGCTTTAATGTTTTGGTTGGTTTTTGGGTTTTGTCGTGATCTTCTTTGGTTATAATCTCCATACGTTTCAACTGCAACTGCGGTAGTCATCTTCAATGGCATGGTGAAAGTACACTTCTTAACGTATCAACTGAAACGAATTAAAAAGTCTTTCATCATTTTTTGTTTTTTACAATTTTTTACACGGTATTTATACTCTTTTTTTAAACTGTTTATTTACTGCAATGTAGCTCTTGTCTTGTGTTTATTTTTTACCCTTTCCTTTTCACAACGTTGAACATGCATTTCCGTGATTTCAGGAGATTAAATTCATCTTAAACACGTTTCAAAGCTCTTCTCTACACTACTCCTATAAGGTATTAGTTCAATGTTTACTTCATTGTTGGCAAATACAGACATTCCTCCTTTCCGATGTTTTGTCGTAGCAAAATATGAGGTGAGTTAGTTTTTAATCACAGTTGTCTTCAATTCATCTTCTGTGAGCCAGTGCTCGTCAATACAAGCGATTTTCACGTTGTGTGTCGTTAGTAGTATGTTAAGGTCATCACATTTTCCTGAAAGTCCCTGTATGTTGAAATGAGCTAGGTTGAATGCATCATCACAATTCAGTGGTGATTGGGAGGATGATAATCTTCCTGTTATATTTATAAAAAAGACCTTGGTTGGTTTGTCTGAGACTCCTCTTTTTTGGTTGCCCATCTAGAAAGTGTTTCCCTAGCTATATATGTAGCTATAGCTATATTGTGCCAATCTTATTTATAAAAATGTGAATTTGTCATTCAATAATGAGATTTGTAACATTAATAGCCACGATTAATGTCTTAATACTTTAATTATCAAAAGTAGTCATTACATTAAATAATTCATGTGTATTACTACAACTAGCCGGGGCAGTGTTGCCAACTACTCTACAAAATGTTACCAAATAACTACCATATAATACATCTCCCTTCTTTAAAAATCTGACTTATAAATCTAATAAGTTGAGTTTTTTAATAATACGCTCAGAAACCTTAGATCTAACAATAGGTACAGCTGTGGATTCATTATTAGATTGAACATCGTGTGAGAGGTCACTCACTTTCAAAGAAGCCCTTCTTGAAGGACTTTTCTCTACATCAGCTGGCACATCACTTTGGATATCAATATGCTTATGTTTTAAGTCACTTTTACAATGTAAGACCCAGTCACTACATGATGGTACTTATTTACGGACTCTCTAAGATCAAATCTATTTCTTATTACTAAATTACCATGTTTATCAAAAACCTTATAAGACCTTGGTTTTTCAGTTAATCGTACAATTTTTCCTGGTTCCCATTATTCATTAATATGGTTGAATACAGTTACATTTTGACCAGGTTTCAAGGGTTGAAGATCTCTGGCAGTCTTATTATAATATTTTTTATTATACTCTTGTCCTAAACAAAATCTATCATTGACTTTGTTACATAAAAATGGTTTCAACAAGTCAGCTGAAGTTGCTAACTTAGTTTTACACATTCGACTCATTAATAATTGTGCAGGGGAATAACCTATGTACTTAAGAGGGGTATTCCGATATTGCAATAATGCCTCGAATATATCTTTGCTTTCTTCTAATGATTTTTTAAGCATTTTTTTCGCAATATTCGCAGATGAGTCAAAGTATGCAAGGACAGGGGCTTTTGTTAACAAGTGTTTAAGTTGTGATAACGATTCCTCGTGATCTCTTACCCAATCCCATTCAACGTCTTGTCTTGTTCCGTAGTGGAGTAGTAACTTTGGACATATTTGGCAAAAATTTTGATTAAAACTTGGCCATGTCAAGCAATCTTAATAAATCTTTTATTTCGAGGTCTTGGCATCTCACTAATGGCATTTAAATATGACTGGTATGGTTTGACACCATCTTTGGAAAAAATCTGGCCAAGAAATTTCACCTCTTTTGATTTAAATTGAATTTTAGATTTATTAAATTTGACATTGTATTTTGACGCTCTATCGAAGACTTTTTTTAAAATGCTATCATGTTCTGCCTCTGTTTCACCTGCTATAATTAAATCATCAAAATACAGTTGAACACCTTCAATATCTAAAGAGTTCAAACATTTTTCTCTGAAAAACTTCTGATGCTGAGCTTATACCGAATGGAAGACGACAAAATTGGTAGCGACCAAAGGGTGTACCAAAGGTACAATACTTAGATGATTGATCTCATTTTCAGAGTCTTCACCTACCTCCACTTGGCAAACTTGTTGTTTTCTGCTTTGGCTTGACGATACCTCTTTTCTTCTGCATACACTTGCAAAATGATTTTTGCCATGACAAATGTCATGTTTCCTTATCCTGGATTACATCTCTCAGAAGTTTATTTTCTTCTTCGAGGAATATTTTCTCGGTATAGACTGGATCGCTTTGACTTCTTTCTTTAACCTGGTTTTGATTTCCCACCACATGCTTGCAATCTCCATTTTTACAATCATTAGTCAGTAGTTGAATATTTATTTCAGTAAATGGTTCAGTACTACTCATTACTGTCTGTTACAATTTCAGTTCCCCTAGTGAACAAAAAATTTTTGGGTTAAGTAGTTACAATTTAGTCAGAACCTGTGAGGTATGAATAAAGAAAGTCAGTATCTTGTCTACTTAGTTGTTCAGAGCGTTGAATCTATGGTATGAATTTGAATAGTGGATCGAGGGAGAAAGCTTCAACAACACCAACAGGAACTGATTTAGAAAAAAATGATAAGTTAAATTTGTGTTGTAATTATATTT